ACTAGAACACGATTTTATGACTTGATGAAGAGTCTTTGGGAAAAACTCTAGCACAAGGTAGAGATACTCCTCGTTCTAAAGAAATCATATTTATAGTTCGTGTCAAAAGTGCAAAATAAAGGTCACCCCTGCATTTTCCGCAGCGAAGTAATAATACATCAATCTGACAATGTTCGGATGCTCAAGCCGTCTCATTATTTGAAGTTCCCTGTTCTGGAAAAACTTCTACAAGTAGTAAAAAAAGAAATAAATACTGCTCTTGTTAACTAAACACACCTTGAATCGTTTATCTTGATAAACTTTCTTAATTGCAACATCTTCATTAGAGTCATAAAGCTTTGCAGAATATACCATACCAAAACTTCCTGAGCCAATAACCTTAAAAAAATTTTTAGACGGCTAAATTTACAAATTTTTCTTTCCCCCAAATCTAGAAGTGCAAGGGACAGAGTTTCTATGTTTGGAAGTTACGTCTGCATAACCAGGTTTCGAACAGCCCTATGCCAAGAAAGAAATTAGCTCGCGAACGAACATCTGCATGTCTTTTTCTCTAATGGGCCACAAATCACGCAGGGACGAAACTCTGGCCGAAGATGAATCCGGCCTACATAAAATTTGTTGCAAACGCAGGCATTCTGCAAAATCAAATTGCATCCCATAAAATATCACTTCAGAGTTGGTATGTCTGTAGGTTGTTCACAATTATTCTTTTATTTGAGAGCTATCTCAAGTCACAAAGCTCTGCTTCACATACAAATGAAAGAAAATACTGCAAAATGTTCTCTTTAATTGCAGGCTCAGATGAACTACAAAATGTCTTCTTTGAGGGTACAGCGTTTAAAAAGAAATTTAGGAATAGGAGAAACTTGTGCAACAAATAACTTTCCTGAGAATTTCGTTACTAAAAAAGAAGTTCGAAATTTTCAAGAATACGTGATTAATTGCAAACGTTATTTCAAACTATTTATTTTCCATTATAGTTGGTCATAAAGAGCTTCCTACTTTCTATTCTTGCTACACTTTTGTTTCTATCGCAGTCACTAATTTCAACTGTAGATTATTGAAAATTCATCTTTTAATCGAAATTCGATGGTGCACCCCCTTCTCTCTCTGTCTCCCCCCCTCCCCCTTCTCCTGCCACTAGCGCCCAAGCCATTCTCAATCAAATTTGTACACAATCTTTAAAATGAGTGTAGTAGGCAGTTTTACTATGTTCATAATGGCTGCGGGAGGAGGATGAATAAAGTAGTTATTAAATTTGCATAGTATTTTTCTGCGTATCCATTATAAAGGTGAAAATCAAGGTTTGCATACCTTTGTGTCGATGTAGCGTATCTCAATATCCTTGTTAGTATTCGAGTAACCTGGCTTCAC